AAATGTTTTGAGAATGATGATGGCAACAAATGTAAAAAAGTGCTTTACACAATTGATGTATGTATGGATTGTGATGAGTTGTATGAGCCCCCAATAAAATGATTTTAAAAAGAAAAAAAATAAATAAAAGCATGTTTACAAACCAAAAAATCCCCCAAAACTAAATAAAAAACAACTAAGCAAGAGATCCTTGCACCTAGAAAAAAATTCCGTTTGTGGCTAGAGGGAGGTCAACTGCCCAAGTATCAAGTTTGATTCAGCCTAATCAGTATTACAGTGATCTGTGTTTGATAGTAAAGTTGTTCCAGATCTTGACCTGTGGCTAGAGGGGATGTGCCGGTGGCTTAGTCTGACTAGATACTCTACAGATGGGTTTTAGGCTCCCACTGTCCTCCACAGCCCACCATAAATTGGGTGTTTACATTTGTTGCACTAATGCTTCTCTCCTCACCATATTTGAATTTTATTATTGCCATCTTTGGATCACACTGTGGACTGAGTTGACTCCTGGCTTCGATGGCTGCTTGTTTGACTACAAGCCTTTAAGACCCCAGACACTATTCCAATTGATAGCCAGGCACCAGCTGCTCTTCACCACACTTTGCTGCAGCGCCCTTATCTTCAGTCATCATTTCACGGCTGGTGTCTTGGATTAAGTGTTGGGCTGCTCACCACAGGGTCGGCAGTTTGAAACCACCGGCAGCTCTCCTGGAGTAGGATGAGGCTTTCTACTCCTAGAAAGCGTTACAATCTTGGAAAGCCACGGGGGCAGTTCTATTTTAACTAGAGGGACTCTGTGAGTCAGAATTGACTCGATGTCCATGAGTTTTTTGAGTGACACAGGATATTGGAAGGTGGCAGAAAGGGAAAGGCTAATTCTTTTCCCCGTGCTAGTAATGCCTCTGAAAGTAGTGGTAGCCGTAGTTGTGGCCAACACGTACAAGTTCTTGAGTTCCTGCATTGGCAGGGGAAAATGGTGCAGCAGTCTCCAAGGCCAGACACCAAACTCCCTGCCATTAAGTTGATTTGGACTCAGAGCCACCCTCTAGGATAGTGTGGGACTGCCTCTGTGGGTTCTGAGACGGGAGCGTCTTGCAGGAGTAGAAAGCCTCACCTTTCTCCTATGAAGTGCCTGTGGTTTGGACTGCAGAACCCCTGGTGCTTCCAAGCGGCTGACCGTGAGGTTAGCAGCCCAGCGTGTAACCCATTCTGCCACTAGGGTTGCGAGAACCAAAAGATACAGCAGAAGCACTGCCCGTGCACGTATTCCAGGGCTCTGGGTGACACAATGTCCTTTTATTGCTCAATCTTAGCA